GCGCACCACCAGGCCAGCAGCTTTGCTAGCAGAAGTGCGGACAGGAAGCCGAACTGACAAGCCATCCATACCCTGGCATGCGAGCAAGCTTTCGTGGCCGCCTGGAGTATTATGATCAGGTCAGGCCGCTCGCCTTGGACGTAGTCCACGGGTCAGCCCGAGTCATCATCCTGTCATCACTTCAACTCTGGGACACGTGCGGGAATGGCAACCCCGGCTGGCCGCACCGGCGCGCTCACCACGGAACACTAAGCAGCCGTGAGCGCTCTCCCCCGTTCCTCCGCGGCCGCCCTGTCTTCCTCCGATCCCTATCCCCTTCTCCGTCCCCGTCCGCACCCCCACCATCCCACCACCCTAGTTGGGGATCTGCCCCTCGAGACTCGAAGGGAGCAGCCTGTGTCCCCATCTAGGGGGATAAATCGGCCAGTGTGGCCCAGGCCACGCCCGTGGGGATAGGAGTCGGACAAGCGATGCTCGCTTCCCACGCCTCCTCTCTTGCACCTGGGCCGTTCTAGTTTTGTGGAGGACGATCGATGGAGAGGAAGCATGTTGCCAAATGGCTTCCAGATGTCTAAACATGTGTTAGACATGCTTTAAGCATGTGAAAAACATGTTTAGAACATTTTCCGACATGTTCACCACATGTTGAGTTCAATGATAGGTTTGTTAGGGCGTCCATTGTCGTGGCATGCACAATTCTAGTTGGTCAGCGCCTCCGGTTCCTGCGAGCGCCCGTGCGGAGTGCCTCTGCCGAGCTGCGGCGGAAAACGCTCGGGAGGGGGAACAAACACGCAGACACAGAGAACCGTCGACGTCTGGAACATAGGAAAATATGGGAAGCGGGTGGGAAGACGAAAGCCCAGAAAATATGGGAACATAAGGGGAATCCTGGCATGTGTGTCCATCTATTTGCGTGTCCCAGGGCCCCTTGAAACAAAAAAATTACAAGTGCGTGCGGGAATGGTCTTCGGGCTGAGTGCTGCGATGTTCCAAACTACTGTAGCCTTGACCGCTAGAAAGAACTCCGAGCACCAGGAACATGCCGACACTTGAGGGCTTTCACGTGTCGGGCCCCGGGAGGCGATGCTCGTTCAACGCTGCTTGGATACTTTTCGGGGCGCTCGAACTTTTATTTCTGGGATGTGGTCCTTACGTGCGATGGGAGGAACATGAGCTGAGTGGCTTCTCGCCCCCCCCCGCCCCGTGGCTGCCGGGTGCGGCTCCGGTGCTGCCCTGCGGGCTCCTGGCGGCCCCAGGGCGCCCCAGGACGTCCCCCGGGCGTCCCCAGACGGCACCCGGGAGGGCCGGCCCGGCAGGGCCCCCGAGAGGCCCCTGAGCTCTAGGCCTCCCAGATGGGGTCGGAGTAGTTGGGGTCGGAGGATCGCGCCGCATCGCCGATGCATCGCCGATGTGGCTCGATGTGCAGCCCGATTTGCTTCACGTCGACGTCGCCGATGCATCGCCGACGTCGACGATGCATCGCAGGTGCATCGCCGATGCATCGCCGATGCATTGCCGATATATCGGCGATGCAGCGCGATCCTCCGACCCCATCTACTCCGACCCCATCTAGGAAGCCTCTATGAGCGGCTGCAGGAGGCGGGGGCGGCCAGGAGTCGAAGAAGAAACAACGCCACGAACATACATCTTCGGCGCTCCGCGCGGATTTCTCTGATCTGCCAGGGGGCCACATGCGAAGCCTACCCCTACCCCCCACGATTTCTGAGGGGGAGGGTGGAGTTCGCTTCGTTCGGGAGCTCACGAGCGAAGTGAACCCCACCCTCCCCCTGAAAAATTGTGGGGGGTAGGGGTAGGGTTCGCATGTGGTCTCCTATCTGCGCTGGGCCCCCCTGGCGGCGCCTCTGGCGCCGCCTCTGGCGCGCGCTCCGCGCGCCAAGGAGGGGGGTCCAGCGCGGATCCAAGAAATCCACGCGGACCGTTAAGAGTTCATCTTTATGCGGTTCTTTCTTCTTCTAAAGAGGGGGTGATGACTAGGGGGAGTGGATCTCATGCCGGGGGCCATGGTCTCTCCCCAGAGTTCATGGCGCCTCTTCGTATTTCAGTACGTCCCCGCCCCCCGCACGTGCCGCTGGCCAGGATTTGCGCTTCCCAACGGCCCTTAGACCGTGGACGTCCCAAGGGGCCTCCAAGCAGCCGTCCAGCAGACGACGGGCAGCTGCAAAAAACCAAGCTCCAATGAATTTGAAGGCTTGGCTTCTCGGGCTCCGTGGCGCGAAACAGCCCCAAGATGGCTTCGGAGGAGCCCCTTGGGCTCCTGGCGGGCCCGCTTGGTGCCCCCATGGATCCGCCCCCAAAGCCTCGGGGGTCTGTTGAGACCATCGTGGTCCGTCTTCGGGCCGACTTCGGACCCTGGGACGGCACCAGAGTGATGGGCCTGTTTTCCACCACCACCACCATAAGTTGGAGGGGGTAAGGAGGAGGAGGAGGAGGAGGAGGAGGAGGAGGAGGAGGAGGAGGAGGAGGGTCCCCTCCCCCTCCAACTTATGGTGGTGGTGGTGGAAAACAGGCCCAGCACAGAGGACTCCCTGAATGCCGAATACGGCCTCGGAGAGCTCCTTGACGACCGGACACGGCCTCCGGAGCGCCACGACTCAGGAGGAAAAGAAACACACAGACACAATTAATCTTCGATTTCCCAGAAAATATAGGAAAATATGGGAAGTGGGGGGGAAGACAAAAACCCCAAAAATATAGGAAAATATGGAGAATATTTTTATTTGTGTGTATTTATTTGTGTGTCCTGGGGCCCCTTCAACGACAGCCCAGCAGGTCGCCGGTCACAGAGTGCGCCAGAACGGCCTCCAGAGCCAGCAGCACACACGTCAGCACGGACTTCAACCAATGAGCGCCAAGTAGCAGCACGCAGCAGCGCCAAACCGCATCAACCATCAGCACGCAGAGTCCCACATCAGCCCGTACCTGCGATGAGGAGCAAGCCACAAGCAATTAGGACGCAACAAATGCCACAGCGCATTGCAAGTGCCGGGGGGTCTGGGACGGTCGCGCACCTGATGGCAGGTTGCCAGCTCGGCAATCCTCCCGGCCCCGCACCTCGGCCATCCTCCCGGCCCCAAACCTCGGCCATCCTCCCGGCCGCCGCGAAATTTCGCCAGAAATCGGCCTTCAAGCCGCCTCGCCCGGACTGCCAGGGCCCCCATATGTTCGCCGCAAAGATGCAGACCCCCCCGGGGCTTACAAACAGCGCATCAGAAAGCGGCAAGAAACGGCAACGAACGGAGGGGCAAGCAATGAAGCAAGCAGCACAGACAGCGGGCGCTCCAGCCAAAACCTGTTGGGCCACCATGGCAGCAGTCGCGCGAGCAGGATGGCAGGAGAGCAGACAAGCACTCGAGCGATCCTCACCCTGGCGTGCGAGGAAGCTTTCGTTGACAGCAGCCCACTGCTCACGTGGGCAGCCGTATCCTGCAGCTGCAGGCAGCAGCAGCAGCAGCAGCAGAGGCGAAGTTCGGGCCTGCTGTTGTCACGAATTTGGCAACATCTCTGCCCTGGTCCAACCTCCAATCTCGGACAGATGTCGCGGCTGGTAGGCTTCGGGTCAGCCCAAGTCTTTACTGCTCTCCTACAGCGTAGGGCCAAGTGCGCGGGCGAGAGGGTCTCTGCGCCGAGTGGCTCAAAGCCGGCCCCGGCCGGCCCTGACGCGCTCCCGGCTCCCCTCTGGGGGCTCCAAGGCGGCCCAAGAGGACCCAAAGGACGGTCCAAGATGGCCCGAGACGGCTGCAGACGGTCAAAGAGGTCGCCAATGTGGCATCCAGACGGCCCCACATGGCCGCAAGACGGCCCACCCAAGAGGGCCAAGCTCCCCGAGAAGGGCCCCGAGGGGCGAACATCATCATTTTCTTGTTGGTTTTTGGACGGTTTCAGCGTTCTCGCCTTTTCGGGTTTTCGACGCTGCAAGACAGCCCGAGAGGCCCCCAAGAAGGTCATCCAAGACAGCCAGAGTCCCCCAAGAGGGCCCCCTGACGGTCCAATAGTGGCCTAAGCCGTCCCAAGAGGCATCCAAGACGGCCCAAGACGGCTCCATGAGGGACTCAAGAGTGGGAGCTCGAATTGGCATTTCGCGCCTTCCGCTCTCCAGGATGATCCCAGAACCCCCTAGAAGGCCTCCAAGAAGCCCCATGAAGTCCCCAAGAGGCCCACATCAGGCCTCGAGAGGTCCCCGAGAGGTCCCAATACAACCCCCCAAAACCGCCACCAAGAGGCTTCCGAGGGAAGGCTCCTCAGGGAGCTCTTGGACCGCGCCTGCCACCCAGGAAAATAAGGCGCCCGTGCTCCTCGTATTATCTCCCCTTCTTTGGAGAGGCTTCGGTCTCAATGGGCGACTCGTCGGGGAGTTCTCCGTAAACAAGCTCCAAGCAGGCCGGCCATTGGGGGCATGCTTTGTAGTGCGTGCTTCGTAGTGCCTTCGAACTTCTCCCCAGCCCGCGCAGTCGGCCCGCATCCTCCGACCTGCCCGGGCGGCCACACGGAGCATCGCTGGAAGGTAAGGCCCACGGTTGCTTTGGAATGTATAGCCTCGGCGATGGTGTGGCCTCAGGGAGGCTCACGATCATCCTTGGGCGGCCCACAAGGGCCAAGTTACCCACACGGAAGCAGCACGAAACACGGAGCAGGCGCCAGCAGCGGCAGCACACAGCAACAGCAAGCAGCAGCAGCAGCAGCAGCAGCAGCAGCAGCAGCAGCAGCAGCAGCAGCAGCAGTAGCAGCAGCAGGTAGCGTTCAGCATCATGCACGTGACATGGCCAGCAGCAGCACCTTGCAGCCACAAGCAACAACGACACGCATCAGCGGCAAGCATTACCAACAGCAGGCAACAGCGGCAGCATGCGGCAACACGCAATAGCATACGCCGAATGCGAGGGCCGAGCCCGACGTTGTAATTTCAGCCTTTCGGCAGCATGTCCACAATCACGTGCCCGTTCGTGCAGATTTCGTGAACGAAGTCCACGGGCCAGCCCTAGTCAGCTGCAACGCTGGGATCAGCGCGTGCGAGAAGGGCGGACAGTGGCAGCGGGCCTTGACACTACTCAACGGTATGTCGGATGCGAACTTGGAGCCCAACGTCATCTGTACTACAATTGCTCCGAGCCGTGCGCGCGAGCCTGCGCTGCCGTAGCTCTCGGTGGGGGCGGCTCCTGGGGCTGCCAGGGCGCCCGGCGCTCCTGGTCCACGATGCCCAACGACGGCTCAGAGACTCGGGCCGGGCGAAAGGGGGGGGTTGGGAAAGGCGGGGTACGAAATTTGCTGCATGCAGCTGGCTTCGGCCTCACCGAGGGGCCCATTCCTCGATACAAAGCCGCCTGCGGCGCCGGGAGGCGCCAGGAAAATCAGCTACGTGAGCTGATTCTCACCCCCCCCCTTTGGTATCCCCCCATTTCGCCCGACCCGAGAGACGCTCAAGAGAGCGCCCAAATGGTTGTGGAGAGCCCAGCGCGAGCCTCGTGATTGCCAAAGGTGGCCCCAAGACAGGCCAGGAGGCCTCCCAGGACCACCCCGATGACGGCCCCACGAGGCCCAAATCATTACCTAACAGCGAAGACTGATAGGTTTCCAATGGGGTCAAAAGAGAGCATCTGATGACTCCCCAGGGGGGTCTGGGCGGGAGCCGGACAGGCGAGGACCGGGCTCGTTTGAAGCAAACAGTCGCACACTTCGTGCTCGTCGACCTCCCAGAACTCCATTCCCGGGCCACATTTTGAATGCCCGGAGCCAACTGTAGGCCACTTCGTGCTCTTGGACTTCCCAGAACTCCATTCCCGGGCCACATTTTGGATGCCCGGAGCCATCTGTAGGCCACTTCGTGCTCTTCGACTTCCCAGAACTCCATTCCCGGGCCACATTTTGGATGCCCGGAGCCAACTGTAGGCCACTTCGTGCTCTTGGACTTCCCAGAACACCATTCCCGGGCCACATTTTGAATGCCCGGAGCCAACTGTAGGCCACTTCGTGCTCTTCGATTTCCCAGAACTCCACTCCCGGGCCACATTTTGAATGCCCGGAGCCAACTGTACGCCGCTTCGTGCTCTTCCACTTCCCAGACTTCCAAGACTCATCATCTTCATCATCATCATCATCATCGTGCCCGTAGCCTTCTTGGCTACAGTTATCGTTGGAGATACCGTTATCGAAAGCAGTGTTTCTACTGCTACTACCACTGCTCCCATCACTCCTACTCGTTCACTCCACACACTACAACTACTACTTCACTGTTACCACTACTACCATCACTACTACTTCTACTGCTACTACTACTGTTACTATTACTGCTGCTGCTGCTGCTGCTGTTGCTGCTGCTAGTGTATAGCTATTGCTACTGCATCTACTGGCAGTGCCACTGCGACTGCCGCTGATGTTGCCACTGCGACTGCCACTGCGAATCCGAATGCGATTGCGAGAACACCAGAATTCTACAACAGCACTCTTACATGAATACCACAGGCAATGTTTCCAGCTATGCTTCTACACATCGCTGTTAGGTTGCTTTGCCGGGATAATAGATTTTCAATCCTGCTGGAAGGATTTGAATGCTCTCCCATTTCGCCCCAAGAATGGCTGTAGGCGCCTCCCAGCGCCTCCTGTATCGCCCCACCTTTGCCCATCACACTCCCGAGAGAGGCCATGGACGGCACCCAAAAGACCCAGGAGGGCCCGGAAGCGCCCGAAGACGGCTCCAAAGAGCCCCTCATGTGCCCTGCGCGACGGCCCCAAGAGAGTCTCTGAGAGCCCCAAGGACGCCGCAGGAAGGCTCTGAGGCGATTCCACTGTCCTCCAAAAGGGGCTCTAAGGGATAACCCAGCCGTCGTCGTCGTCGTCGTCGTCGTCGTCGTCGTCGTCGTCGTCGTAGCCGTCGTCGCCGCGGTCGTCGTCTGTCGTTGTCGTCGTCGTCGTCGTCGTCATCCTTGTCCTCGTCGTCGTCATCCTTGTCCTCGTCGTCGTCGTCGTCGTCGTCCTCCAAATGGGGCTCTAGGGGACAACCCGGGAACGGCTTCAAAGGCGCCCAGAATATCGCAAGAGGCTCTCCAGAGGCGCCAGACAGCCTCGCAGGAGGACCGAAGATGCCCCCGACACGGCCCTGAAGGCACCCAACATGCCGAAGAGTTGCCCCTGGCCCCGAGCGTCGGGGAGGTGCTGCAGGGCCACGAGTGGATCGTGTGCCCTAGCAAGACCGTGATGGCTGCGTGTGAGTGCCCGGTCATAGTGGAGGACCGGGGCGCCCCTCTCACAGCCCGACGGGACGTGGCTCAGAAACGGCCCCGCCGACCCCCAGCGGACTGGCGCTCTCCAGTGGCGGCCTCCTCGCCTCCCTGCAAGGCGCACGCGCGCAGCCGGAGGCGGGCCTCCTCCAGAGAGGGGGGGCCGTCGCGGGAATGCCCGTCGCACAGGGGGGTCGGGCGGGCCGCGCCCGAGGCAGAGGGACAGCACCGTCGCGTCCCCCGGAGCGCTCGCTCTCCCTGCTCCCTCGTCCTCGTGCCGTTTCTCCTTGCCGCCGCCTGCCCCGTCTCGCCCCGCCTGAGAGCAGGGTTCCTGGCTCTCGTCACCGAGCAGCGGGGAGTGGCGCGCAGACTCGCGTCGCGTCGGCGCGGCGGCGACCTCAGCGCCAGCATCAAAAGAGGCTCAGCGCCGACACTGGTCCAGAATCGGCCATCGCGCAACATCCCGCGATTTGAAAAAATGGCCGCGGGGTTTCCCTCCCCCAGAACCAGGGGTGGAAGGGGGGTTTCCCGACCCCCCCCCCACCCCCCACGACACCCTCCCCCGGAAAGTTATTCTGAGAGGACTAAGGCCCCCCCTCCGGGTCAATCATTCGAGGGGTCCGAATCCCCCCCCCTTGCAATGACGACGGCGGCGGCGACGACGGCGACGACGACGACGATGACGGGACGACGACGACGACCACGACGACGACGACGAGACGACGACAACGCGATGACGACGACGTCGACGACGACGATGACGCACGACGCACGACGCGCGACGCACGACGCACGACGACCACGACTACCACGACGACCACGACGATCACGACGCCGACGACTTCGCAGCCGACGCCGACGACAACGTCAACGACAACGGAGACGACGGCGACGATGACGACGAGGCTACGCCGATGACGACGCTGACAACGACGACGACGAAAACGACAACGACGATGTCGAGGACACTTGCGACAACGACGCCGCCGATGATCGAACCCGCATGGGGTGCGATTAAGGCTGGATCGAGCCGTAGTAGGAGCCTGGTAAATCTAGATTGAGCCTGAGAGCCAGACCCAGCCCTGGTGAGATGCGGTTCAAGTGAAGCTGGATCCAATTCTACAGAAATGTTACATCACTGCTAGGTCGGGCTTTGGCAGCCCCATCATATTTGGACCCCACCTTGATTAAAGCTGAACCAACCGTCGTAGGATTTTACTGGAGCTGGATCGAGCCCTAGTTCGAATCTATGGGAGCTAGATCCAACAGTAGTAGGATCCTGTTAGAGCTGGATCGAACCCTAGTAGGATTCCATCAGGGCTGGGTTGAACTCTAGTAGGATTATCAAAGTACTTGCTCGACCCCCCGAATAATGTTATTAAAGCTGGGTGGAGTCTTGGTAGGATTCTGTTGGAGCTGGATCAAGCCGAAGTAGATACGATAAGATCTGGATCAGGCCTTATAGGAAGTGCATTCGAACTAGATTCAGCCTCCATTGGGCTTCTGTTAGAGCTTGATCGACCCCTAGTGAGGTTCCTATGGAGCTGGATTCGAATATACGAGGATTCGATTGGAGCTGGACCGAGCAAAGCTGGATCCAGCCCCCATGCGATTGTTTACGGTTGGATTGGGCTGTAAAGCTTGGTCGAACTTTCATGGGGTTTTGGACCCAGCCCTAGTAGCAGGACTCGTAGATCTGAGCCCGGCCTTCGTAGGATTCTATCAGAGCTGGATCGAGTCGCAGTCGAGTTCGATTGGAGCTGGATCGTGCCCTACAAGAGTTCAATCCGAGCTAGATGCATTCCCGCAAATGTTATATTAGAGGTGGGACGAACTCTGATTTGTATTTGTGAGAGCTGGATCGAACTGTAGTCGCCTTCTGTCAGAGCTGGCGCATGGCGCGGGCGCCAGCGACACATGCGCCGCCGCCGCCGCTGACTTTGTCGCCGTCGTAAGCGTCGCCGTCGTCGTCGTCGTTATCGTCGTCGTCGGAATTTTCGTCGTTTTCGTCGTCGTCGTTCGTCGTCGTCGTCGATGTGGTCGCCATCGTCGCTATCGTCGTCGTCCTCCCGTCGTCGTCGTCGTCGTCGTCGTCGTCGTCGTAGTCGTCGTAGCCGTCGTCGTCGCCGTCGTCGTCGCCGTCGTCGTCGTCGTCGTCGTCGTCGTCGTCGTCGTCGTTGTCGTAGCCGTCGTCGCCGAGGTCGTCGTCTGTCGTTGTCGTCGTCGTCGTCGTCGTCGTCGTCGTCGTCGTCGTTGTCGTCCTTGTCCTGGTCGTCGTCGTCGTCGCCGTTCTCCAGAGGGGGGGCGGGCGCAGGGGGGGGGAGTGATTCTGGACCCATCCGAAAAATTTTCGGGGGGGGGAAGGGTTTGGACCCCTCCGATTTATTTTCCAGAGGGGGGGGGGATATTTCCTTTGGGGAGGGGGGGGGGTCCAGATCCCCCGCTTCTTTCCGGGGGGGGTCAGGATGGAACCCTGGTGTCTGACCCCCTGAGAGGGGCTCCTCGGGAGGGGATATGAAAGGGGGGGCGGGCATGGTTTCTGACCCCCTCTTTATACGAGATCTTCTGGGCCCGCGACGGTGGATCGTGACCATGCAGGGTTGAATGTTCCACGCGGCGTCAAGAACAACAGCGCCTGTCGGCGCGACATCCCATCCTCCACGGTGTCGTTGCCGCGGCACGCCTGAAACGCTCCGAGGTCATCCACGTGCACTCTGGCCCTCCTTCCATCCTCTTCGCGAGCTCTGCGAGCTCTGGGTGAGATCTGCGCGTCACGAACCCCAGGTTCAGCAAACCGTGGATTTGATTCACGTGTTCGCACTCGTCAGCTACAGCGCTGGAATCAGCGCTTGCGAGAAGGGCGAGCAGTGGCAGAGGGCTTTTGCGCTGCTGAGCGAAATGAGGGAGGCGGAGGTGAAACCCAACGTCATCTACTATACCATGCTGGGCGCCGAAGTGTCGAAACAACAAGGACACAACGCAAGTTTGCCCCTTCCGAGGCTCCAACGCCAAGCCCCCGAGGGGCCCTAGGGAACCCCACGGCTGACCCATGAATGCCCAAAGAAGTTCCCCAAGCGTTTGACAAGGATATCCTCAAGCTGCCCACAATGCGCTGCAAGCTTCCCTTCCAGAGAGACCTACGAGTTCCTGATATCGTCGTTTAGCTCCAGTATGCTTCCTGGATGGCCCTAGAGGGCCCCCAAGACACCCCAAGCGAGCCCCGGGAGACCCGCAAGAGAACCGACAAACACATACAGGAGGCGATTTTTGTCCCAACCCTCACGTGTTGCCCCCAACCCTCGTGTGTCGTTAGGTCCTCGCGTTTTATCTGCAGCGCCGCGCGTCTCATCTTACGTCTCTTCGCCATCTTCCTGCGCCTCCCCGTCAGTGTTTCCACCAACCCTCTTGTCTACAGCCAATGCGCTGAAATAGGGACGGCTTTCGGCTTAGGACGGCTCTGTGTTTTTGGGCCGTTCCTTAGGTCTAGGTCGGGGTGGCCTAGGATCGCCGTGGCCAGAAAAAGGCCCTTCGTTTTCTATTTAATTAAAACAACAAGTGGTCCTTCTTGCAGCACGACGGCTCTAAGCTTGGCGATGGTCGCGCGGCGTCTCGTACAACTGTAGCGATTTTTGCATGATTTTGGCGCGCCCCCACATCGAGCGCTATGTTCAGCAGAGAACTAAGAGGGATGTCCAGGTAGACCCTGGATTAAGAACCCCCTCTGGGGCAGACCCTCCCTTCTGGAATGTAGAGAACTGGCCAGGGCCGAACCAAGGTCCTGGGATGGGGTGCCCAGGGCAGGGCCTGAGACGAAGCATCCTAGGGCTGGGTCGTGGGATTGGGTCCTGGGGACGGGAGGAGGAGGAGGAGGAGGAGGAGGAGGAGGAGGAGGAGGAGGAGGAGGAGGAGGAGGAGGAGGAGGAGGAGGAGGAGGGAGGACAGAGAGGAGGAGAGGAGGAGGAGGAGGAGGAGGAGGAGAGGATGACGTTCCAGGATCGGCTCCTGGGATTGGGTGCTTGGATAAGGTCTGGGAGTAAAGTCCTGGGAGAGGCTCTTATACCATAGTACTTGGGCAGGGTCCCGTCTCGTGCTCCTGGGGGCATGTCTCTGCGATGGGGTCTTCGGACGGGGCCCTGAAATAGGACATTGGAGGAGGGCCAGGAGGATGAGAGAGGAAGGGGGGGATGGGGGGCATGAGGGGAGGGGGGTGCGAGAGTGAGGGCGAGGGGGATGCCCTACAGAACGCCACTGGGGATAGGACGAGTGCAAAACAAGCAACCGCACGACCGTTCATCACCATCACCATTGCAAGCTGCTTTGGTTCGAAGCGTTTGCTCAGCGTCGCAACGTCGAGCTGCCGTTTCCATATTCGGGCACGTTGAGCGTGCTTCGGGCGATGTCAACTCCGCAGAAAAGGACGATCTCTGAGCGGACGGCGGAGAACGCGGCTGTACAGGTGGCCGGGACCTTCGCCACGCTCGGCGCAGTTGCTACTGAACGCGAGCTGAAGACCGTCACGGCCATGCTCGCGCAGAACACGCAGCTGCTCTACGGCGTTAGCGCCATCATTGCGGACCCCAATTCGCGGGAGCTTGTGGCCGATGCAAACATGGTGCAGGCCTTGGTGCGGCTCGCGAAGGACGACAATTTGCGTGGCCTTCTCCTCGGCGTGCAACCTGACGCCGCGGCTCTGATCACCGCCGCGCGGTCTGCCAAGGCGAGGAAGCTGCGTTCGGCGGCCGAGAGGATGAAGCACCTCTACATGGCGGGCTACATGGAAGCCGTTGTGATCAAGGCTTTGCGGCGGCTCAACAAACACGACTTTTTCAATGCCGACGAGTCTGGCAGCCTGCCACCCGCCGTCCAGGACGCCGACCTCCTGAAGGTTTTGTGCTGGGCCCTCAACTGTGACCTGGAGATGCTCCTTGTCGCACACGTACCTGGCGGACCAGAAGGGCATCGTTCAGGGCGACCTGGTCGACGTCTTCGTCGTCAGCGGTGCGCAGGTTGGGGACAAGCTGAAGGACCTCGACCTGGAGACGTTCACGGAGTCCGCTGGGTGGTTCTGGACGGACGGTGAGAAGAAGACCATCCAGTGCAGCATCGACGCCAAGAAGGCTCGGCGCTGCGTTCAAACTTATACGGGACGTGCCGCAGATGAGGAACTCTGAAATGCCGCCCGTTGGGCGGCATCACGGGCCATGTCAAGCCTCGCATACGAACATGTAAACACACGACGTGCAACAACAGTGTAAACAAATCAGCCACTTCGAGCATCGCTGACGCAACGTATTCGGCGTAAGCGGGCGTCTAACCACTCGGATCAAACGTCGCTTCGACGTTTGGGGCCACGGAAACCTCTATGAAACCCCTGCCCCTCGTCACCCCCGTATGTTGACATGCCCAAGGCCGTCAGTTTCGATTTCGCCACGACGTGCGACGTGAATGACCGTTTCAGTCTGTCTGCCACCGCGCTGTGCAAGGTCGGAGACAACACGCTGCAGCCCCCGCTGAAGGACCAGTTCGTTGACTCGGGAATCGGCTTCACGGTGGTGGACAACAAACCCTGGGAACTCCCTGGGATGCCGCATGTACCCCTCGCGCCTCCAGAGTCTGGCGCGGCGACGTTTGGCGGGAAGACAACGGGTGGGACCGCGGCAGCTGCCAATAATGGTAATGATATTAAAAACAATAATATGTGCACTGCTGACGCGATTGGCGGCGCGCCCAGGAAGCGTCTGACGGGTCGCTCAACTGAGGCTGACGCAGCCCCTGGCCTTAGCGGCGCTGCCACTGGCTCCACTGCCACTCTCGGCCCCTCAGGTGGCGGAGTCCCTAGCGCCTAGGCTCTGCGCTGCGACTCCAACGACTCGCCTCGACTGCTGAGTTAAGTTTGCCACGGCGACTTGTTTAGGTTGACTCTCAGATAGGCTTCTGTATTTTGACCAGACCCCCCGCGTGTGCATATTTGGTCGCTCTTTTATGGTGGCCCTCAGATAGCGCAGAGAGGCTCGGCGAGATGTCGCGAGCTCGTGGGCGCTGTTGCACAGCAGCTGCCGCCCCTGACCACTTTGCCTGAGGCTCGTAAAGATGTAAATGGTGGTATGATGATGAGGCATAGCAAGACGTCGCCGATCAAACGGCTGTAATTATCAAAGACGTCAATCCTCCCCCTCCTCGTTCACCTCCTCCTCTTCCTCCTTCTTTTTTCCTCTCCCTCATCTTCCAAACGGCCGTGCAAGCTGCGGTTCCCGCCTGATACTTCCTGACAATCTATTTCAGAATCGCGTTTTCGCTTGGGACCTCGCAACTTACCACCGAGCCGCTTGGCTTGACAGTTTCTTGCCATTTATCCAGATGCCGGTCCTCGACACTCAGGAATCGCGCTCCCGCTACATATTGCTTGGCGGTTCAAGCAAGATTCACGCTTCAACGACCCGCCCGCTCGACCCGCCCGTCGGGGCTTGCCCGCCCGACCAGCCCGTTGATGACTGCAGTCGCCGCTCGCTGCCCTTCGCCGGCCTTCGCTGCCCCTCTTTGCCCGTCCTGGTTCCGCGGTCGCCTTCGCTCGCTGCCCTTCGTGGCCCTACCCTCAGTGGCCCCGTCGCTGCCCTTTTTGGCCCTGCATTCTATGTTCCTCGTGGCTCCCGCTCGCACGCGCCCGTCGTGGCCCCATTTGCATGCCCTTCCGTGGCCCCGCTGTCGCCCTTCGTGGCCCCGGTGCTGCCCTTCGTGGCCCCTTTGCTGCCCTCAGTGGCTCTGTTGTCGCCTTTTGTGGCCCCGTATACAAATGCCCTTCGTGGCCCCCGCTCGCTCGCGCCCGTCGTGGCCCCATATGCATGCCCTTCGTGGCCCCGCTGTCGCACTTTGTGACTCCCTTCATGCCTTTCGTGGCCCTGGTGCTGCCCTCAGTGGCCCCGTCGCTGCCCTCTGTGGCCTCTGATTTTATGGCCTTCGTGGCCCACGCTGGCGTTTGTCACGATTTACTTGGGAATCGCGCTATCGCTCGAGAGTTCCTCGCGAATTGTGCAGGACCCACGCCTCAGCAACCCGCCTGCTCGTCCTCGTCGCCTGGGCTCGCCTTCCCGACCTGCCCGCTGTGGGTCTGCCCACCCGATTTGCCCGTCTGGTTCTACCACTTGTTTTCTGCTCCCTGGCCCTGCACCCCTCCTGCGAATTTCTCTCGTGCTCCATTCTTCCCCCTCCCCCTTCCACCCGTCTTCTCTTTCCTTGTTTTGGGGGCTGCACTAAACACGCGTCGCAGGGAAGGAAAATATTCCGTCAGGGGGGTACGATCGAAAACGACGAGGGCGGGCACCGAGGATTTGGGATATACGTATTGATTGGCACGTGAGCAGACAGGAACGAGCAGTCTTAAAATGATTGTTGTTGTTGTTGTTGAACTCGTTACTAAAATAATTATTTTGTTGATCCCCTCTCCGGTGACCATTGCGTTTTTCAATTGAAGTGCTTCCCCTGGGGCTCGTTCCTTTTTTATTATACGAAAGTCACGGGGCTCAAACTGCGTTTTTGGTCCCTTGATTACAACAACAACGGCTCCCGCCTGATATTTCCTCACAATGTAGCCAGGACCCCCGCTCCCGCCTGAGATTTCCTCGCGTTTCACTAAGGAACCGGGCTCTCGCTGGAGATTTGCTTGCGATGACGCAAGAATCGCGCTCTTGCGTTGGAATTCACTGCAATTTACTCTATCGCCGCGCTCCCGACATTCAGGCACCAAGGTGTTGTGCTCACGCTTAAGACTCGCTGCAGCTTATTCAGGAAGTGCTTCCCCCGGGGCCCGCACCCGGGTTGGTCTTGTTGATGTTGTTGTTGTTGTTGTTGTTGTTGTTGTTGTTGTTGTTGTTGTTGCTGTTGTTGTTGTTGGTCTCGTTGTTGTCGTCGTTGGTGTTGCCGTCGTTGAACATTATTACTTCTAAAGAATAATTATTGTTGGGACCCCTGGTGCACGACCCCCTCGCCGCGCCTAGGCCGCAGCCTCATTTTCATCTATTCGTGAGGAAGTCTCAGGCAAAACGGGTTGGTCCGGATCCGGTTGTGTTGTTACGATCGGTTTTCCCTTGCAAAAAATAAGTTAAAGTGGACATTTCTTGTTCTAACATAACCAAACTTCAAGAATCCCTTGCAAAAAAACAAGGTAAAGTGGACATTCGCGTGCGCAAGGCGAAATCCTTCCAAAACCTTAGTTTTCGTAGCGATTTTAACATAAAAACATCAAAAAACCAATGGTTTTTCAAAAAAAATGTCAAAATTTCATCCCGCGCGCTCTTGCGGATTCGTAGGAAACCCAACACTTTTTAATCATTTCTGTCAAACGGGCTTTTGCGAGCAACTTTTTCGAACTTCTGCAACAACGGTTGCGCACCTGCCAGGGCCATCATCCCTGTCAAATAATACCATGCGGGACACATTCGTTTTTTCTTCGCGCGCGCACGCCGTCGTCGTCGGCCGCGGGGCCCTGAATAGTAGCCACGGTCGTCCGCATGCCACGAAGTGAAGTGTCCGAACGTCATAGGGCGGGAAGCTGGGTGTGGGTGGTGGCGAAGAGTCGTTTGGAAATTTGGTAGAGCTTGAACCGGCCCCCCCACAAAGTGGGGGTATTGCCCGCCTCCTATGAAAACCCTGGCACTGGTGAGAACGGAGTGTCCCCACGTGCTAGTAATTGTTGTTGTTGTTGTTGTTGTTGTTGAACATTATTAATTCTAAAGAATAATTATTGTTGGGCCCCCTGGTGCGCGCCCCCCCTGCGCCGCCTAGGCCGCAGCTACATTTTCATCATTTTCGTGAGGAAGCCTCAGAAAAGAGGGTGTGTACAGGATCCGGTTGTTTTGTTGTAATCCGCTTTCCCTTGCAAAAAACAATAGAAATGACATTTCTTGTTCTAATATAATCAAATTTCAAGAATCCCTTGCAAAAAATAAGGTAAAGTGGACATTCGCGCGCGCAAGACGAAATCCTTCCAAAACCTTAGTGTTCGCAGCGATTTTAACATAAAAACATCAAAAAACCAATGGTTTTTCAACAAAAAAATGTCAAAATCTCATCCCGCGCGCTCTTGCGGATTCGTAGGAAACCCAACACTTTTTAAACATTTCTGTCAAACGGGCTTTTGCGAGCAACTTTTTCGAACTTCTGCGACAACGGTTGCGCACCTGCCAGGGCCATCATCCCTGTCAAATAATACCATGCGGGACACATTCGTTTTTTCTTCGCGCGCGCACGCCGAAATCTCCAAAAACCATTGGGCTTCTTAAGAATTTTAGCACCGCGCATCATAAAATCACACGAATCGCACCGTAGGTCCTCGAAAAACACCTGCACGACTTTTCAAAATTTCTACCCGCGCGCGCTGTCCGAATCCTAAAAAAACCAATGGTTTTCCAACATTTATGTTACATGAGCTCGCGCGAGCTACTTTCGCACGCTCTTGCAACGGGGTTCGCGCGCCTGCCAGGGGCCACAGTCCCTTGCTGTCAAATAGTACCATGCGGGACACATTCGTTTTTTCTTCGCGCGCGCACGCCGTCGTCGTCGGCCGCGGGGCCCTGAATAGTAGCCACGGTCGTCCGCATGCCACGAAGTGAAGTGTCCGAACGTCATAGGGCGGGAAGCTGGGTGTGGGTGGTGGCGAAGAGTCGTTTGGAAATTTGGTAGAGCTTGAACCGGCCCCCCCACAAAGTGGGGGTATTGCCCGCCTCCTATGAAAACCCTGGCACTGGTGAGAACGGAGTGTCCCCACGTGCTAGTAATTGTTGTTGTTGTTGTTGTTGTTGTTGTTGTTGTTGTTGTTGTTGTTGTTGTTGTTGTTGTTGTTGTTGTTGTTGTTGAAAGCCACCGGGTCTGGCCCCCCAGCCCCCCCCACCACACCAACCAACCAACCCCTCCCCCCGATTCCCCCCCGTCTGGGGGCCCTCTTGGGCCATCCTGGGGTCCCACTCGCCGTCTGGGGGGGTCCTGTGGAGCCGTCTGGGGCCGTCTGGGGGGCCTGGGGGGCCGTCTTGGGCGTCTTCCTCAAGGTTCACCAAGGTTCATTAGGGATATTGCTATTCAATGCGGCACGTTTTCTCTTTCAGTCTACGTTTCATGCGGCCGCCAG